GGGATATCTCCCTTCCTCCCCATAGCTGCAGATGGTTGGCTTACACTGAACGCTCTTTGATAACTTGGTTCCTAGGCAGAAGGTATGTTACATGCACAGATGGTCTAGATACCTCTTGGAGTCTTCAGTGCTGCCCTTATGTATCGAGCAACCGGGTAGAAGTAAATGCTGAGGTTGAAGTTTGGGTTGTCCTCTGCTTCTATGCCATAGTAATCCGCAGGCAGGTCTTTGTAGAACTTGGGTCCGGTGTCGATATGAAACCGCCCAGCAGCTGCATCCACGACGTGGGAGATGCCCATTCGGCTCAGCTGTGCTTTGTCACGAGCTACGTACCTGGGAGCAGAAAGGTGGGTTATGTTCCCTCCTGGCCTTATAGCGCAGGGCGGAACAAGCTGCTGATGCTGCCTGTGTGTTGAAGTGGTGGGAAGCCTGACTGGATACTTTATGACAGGCCAACTAGGTTCAGAGCGGTCCACCAAAATGTTTGGAGACAGATGGCTCTCAAACTCAGTGTTTTTCTCTCAATTGAAAGAAAATAAAAAGGTGATGGCTATGATATTTCTGCACAAGCCAACTGTCTTCTGGTTTGCTGTCTTACCAAGTCACCTCTGCCGAGCGTTCATCAGTGCAGGGGATGGATGTCATCTGGCAATACAAGGAGAAAACCAAAACAAAACAGGATGATCCTGTTCTACACAGTGCTAGTGTCTCTGCCTGCCAAGACCGTGCCATGGTCCTGTACTAGAGCAAGAGCAGAGATATATGTGGGTCTCTTGGGCCTTGCACAACAACTAGACTTACAATGAGGCATCCCATAATCAGGACCGAACTTGCACTTAAAATAAAGGATCCTTCCTTTACAGGTTAGGATCTTTTCTTTATAGGACTATAAAGGATATTTCCTTTACATTCCTTTCATCCTATAAAGGTTTTATAGGAGTGGACAGAAGGGGCCAAAGTTAAGAGTTGTGTTAAACACATTCAACCCTGCTTTCTCTTACAGGTCTCCCACATAAAGGTTTGGCCAGACTTCGTCCACGTGTCCGGTGGGATGTGTGCGTGTCCAGAGCAGGCGCCGCAGCTCCTCCAGGGATGGTGTTTCGTGGCTGCTCTGGACTCCTGCAGTCTGTCTTGAGGCACTTCTTATTTTGGGGCGCAGTAAGTCACCTCTGCAGAGTGAATCCCAAGCCATCCTGAAAGGGGGAAGGCAGATGTTCATCACCAGCTTGTGATGTTTCTGAGGTTGACCTCTCCTCTTATCCCCTCACAAAATTCACTCACAGTTACAGAAATAAGTTCTTTAGAGCAAAGATTGTCTTTCTGTTCTGGGTTCATATTCTTTATAAAGGGCCCCAGTCTAGCACATGTGTTCTGCTTTTGAATGGAAAGTGGTCATGCTATGGAATACCTATTATAAAACTGTGGCTGCTTCATCGGTATAGAAAAAGTTACTAGTTTTGTATGACGAGCTTTTCATATCCATGCAACCAAGAAATCAGGACTTGTTTAAACATGCCATATCAGACTTGTCTCTTATAATTTCTTCAGCTGAGCTGAATGGAATAGAATTGTTCATGCGACATTTTTTTCACTGATTAGCTCTTAACTGTCAAGTCCAACAGGGAAAGCTCTGCAATGAGCATTCTGGTGCTTTCCAATGGTAGTTACCAGCCATACTTGCTGTCCTGATAAGAAATGTTCATAGCAGAAGGAATCTGTGTAAGATGCAGTGATTTTAGCTGCCTTCTGTATGAGTACTCGTACACTTTTTTATAGGCTGTTTTATTTGCATTCCTCTCCTCTCTACTGCCTTCCAAATATTACTCTATTTCTAATCTTGAAATTGATACTTTAATTACAAGGAGAAACACATTTTTTTTCAGGCCTTGATTTCTTTCTGGATGCATTCATTTTTCCTGTGGCACACTTCTTTTAAAATAGTGACTCCTTGTGTTAGCTGTACATACATTTTAACTATTGGGATGACTTTTGAAAACTGAATAGGCACAAGCTATTTTTACTTAAGTTCTTTAAAAAAAAATATTTTTACTTATTCTAGAAATTAGTCAAGTATCTCATTATGGAGGTATTAGGAAGTCTGTTAACTCATGCAACTCTAGACCAGATACATTTGTCTATGGTATAGATAAAATTGCAGGCAATGATTCAAAATCTTGCTCTGCTCCTGGCTGTACTGAATGTGTTTCACTTAAATGATTAGAACAGGACGGTTTTTGTCCAGAGAAGTAAATCTGAAACCACCCACCTATATGCTGAGCAGCTCCACCACTTGGTAATAGATTATGTTCATGTTCAAGGACCTTCATGTACAATTTTCTTCCAAAAAACCTTAGCTATGGTGAAACATCTTCCAGGTTTCCCATCAAGGTTCTATCACTAGCTCTAAATTCACATATGGTGTAGTTTTATTTAAAAAAAAAATCCATACAAGGACAGAAAGAGTCTGAAGACTACCCTGCCTAGGGAGTTCTGCATGGCTCTTATATCCCATTGCACCTCTATTAACCGGTCGTTTTGTTGAAGGAGAAGTTGGACAACTAAATTCCTGGCCGCAGGAATGAAGTAGGGAGCAATGACCGCTGTGTCAGTCAGTTCTAGACTCATTGACCACTGCCTAGAAGCCACCATTCTGCTCACAGTTCTGGGGACTCATCTTGCTGTCTTGCTGTTTATTGGGGCCCTTCTACATGCAGGGATGTATTTCAGTACATCTCCTTCTGCCACTTTCGCAGACAGCTTTTTCCTCTTGAAAACGCTATTTTTTCCCCAAATAATGATGTTCTCAGGATGGTCACGTATTGTTTGTATTACAAAGAGCTCCAGTGTGGAATGTGCTCCCCTCCCAAATGTGCATATCTCCTCGGGTCTCAGTTTTTACTGTGAAAACAAAAGCAGATGTTCTTGCCCATTTCAGATGGCTTTATGCAAGAGGAGGAATGGAGGAATTCCCATGCTGGAATGGACATTCTCCATCAACGTTGATCACTTTTTTTGATGTTGGCCACCCTGGTCCTCGGTACATCAGAGGAGCCTCGGTGCCTTGGGCGCCAGTTCTGTCCCTGGCTCCAGCTGGGGCTCGTGGACACCTGCAAGGTCTGTCTGATCCCACACAGGAAGCCGGCAGCAGAAATAGAACTTGCGTTTCCTGTGTCCCGGCCACAGGGCCATCTGCCATTTCATTAAATACTTCAAGAATACAGCCTCCTCCAACACTTCCCACCTCATAATATCTGCAGAAAATGTTACTTTTTTTTTTTTTTTTGATGTCTCTTATTCCTTGCAGTGCAGCTAATGACCACTCTAGGGCACTTCTCACTCCCTATAAAGTTGCTTTCAACTGTTTTGGTTTTGCTTTCTTATTTACTACAGCCTGTTATTCCTTCCTCTTTTCCCTTTTCACTGTACAAATGCTTAGATTTTCATATCGCCCAGCCTCAGAGGACTGCAGGCTGCTGTCAGTCTTGCTTTCCTCAGCTTCACGGCAGTGGGGAATTAGAGGGCACTGCAAATTAGAGGGCAGTACTGCTGTGTTCAGGCTGTCATTAAGATGGTGAAGGACAGGCTGTAGCTCACTCGCTGTGTTTTTCAGGCCCATAATCCCATCCTTGCAACTGCCCCAACTGGGGCACGAGCTCCGATGTACAGCAAACCTTAGGAAAAGTGATTTTCAGTGATGCTTTAAAAACTTGTCTTTCTAGATGGGAACACAGCTGTGTACATTGGGCAAGAGGGGGCATCAGGTCTTGCTCGCCGTGTGGGTATCGCAAGCTCTGGAGTGATGGTTTTCTTTGCAAGATGAGCAGGCTCCCTCAGAGTTATGCTGAGGTGACTTGCAGCTTCTGCTCACATTAATCCTGCATTCTAGCTAAAGAACTCACTCCTGTTGAAATGCAGACATGAAATTCTGAAGTTGTGTACAAAACTTGTTCCATCTGCAATCTGGGTCACATTTGTTCAACTGGAGAACAGAATAATTTTGTGTAAACTCTATGTCCAATAAAAACTAAGGGCTAGGGTTCAAATTTCAAATGTGAAATAATTGGAACTAACGGCCTGTGAATGATTCAGAAGTACAGAATTCTCTGTAGAACTATTCAGCTAATATGTTGAATAATGAATACACTGGAAAAAAAAAAAAGAATAGTAGCTTTCCATAGAAAATTTCCCCATAGAAAAGGAAGGGAAATTTTTCTGAATAAATGACTGTTCATTTTTAGCTTCAGTCTAGCATTTTAACTCACTAAATTTATACATGCAAATGACATTTACTGAAATGCACATTTTAAAAGCAAACAGTGATATGAATAAAATTGTGTAATGTTTTGTAAGAAGCATGAATAGATTACAACAAATTAGTATGAAAGGAAAATGATTATATGTAATAATGTAGTTCTCCTTAATTTAAAAAATGTTTTAATGATTTTCAGCTTAATTCCTCTGTATTCTTTTTTTCTGTGCTTGATCTGTTTCTGTGATACATGTCGTATGTAATAATCAGTACAATTTTATAATGCAAGTTTCTGAATGACATTCGTATGAAATTTTTCTGATCTCTGCCCTACTGGATTTGTAACACAGTAATTATTCAACCACGTAGGAGAAATTTTACCATTATATTTAGATTAATTTTGAATTGGTTTGTACTACAATTGTAATTTTAGCTGAACTGTGTAATAGAATTTCCTTAATTATGAATAGCAGGAGAATTGCAAAGAGGCCTGTCACAGACGGTAGAAGGTCATTCTGCAGATCTAGAGTGACCTTGAGCATATAGCACAGGCCATACATTGCCTGGTGGCATAACCCACTTTGAAAAGCGTTAGTGACTTGGCTACAGCAGGGCTAAGAGAACAGCCAGTTCCGTGGTGCATTGTGCTGGGCACATATATGGCACATAGTTCGTTGTGCTGCCCAGTATGTATATGTATATGGCACATACTGGGAAGCAAGGCTCACTGAGAGCCTCTCCTTCCCAACTCGGCAGGTTTCCTCTCTGCGCATAAGCGGATGCCCCTTTGGATTATACACACTGTGGATGCTTTGGCATTTTTTCAGTTAATTCAATGGCTATAGACTTTTCCCTATCAAAACTAGAGGTGCTGAGTGCTGTACAGAGAAGGGGACTTTTAGAGAGAGATCCCTGGAAAGGCAATCTCAGTGCTTGGAAACATGTGTCACCTTTTAGCCAATTTCTCCAATGCCACAGAACTTAATGAGAAGAGAACAGACTGAACGGTCAGTGCAATCTGACCACTCGACATTACACTGGCACAAGATCACGCCGTCTAACGGCTGGGGTATTAAAGTGCTGTGTTCTAGCAGAAAGCATTCAAGCATTCCCGTAGAAGGTTTTTCATTGCATTTTTCCCATGCCAAGATAAAGAAGGGATATTAGTACAATATCAGAGTGTCAATATTCACCTTTTAATCATGTACTGAATATTTTAATCAGCCCAGGAATTGTGTTGGCATTGTGTTTATGGGTAGAACATAGCTATTTTCCCCTAGCTTTAGTGGATATATTTTTAGACTTTTTTAATCCTGAGAACAAAGTGCTCTACCTCCTGTTTCTGGCAAGCTGGTATGTGCTGTAACCTTGTCAAATTAGTGAAGAGATCACTTTGACTGCACTTCAAATGGCCTGTGTTTGATTTGTGATGGCAAAAGACCAGGCTGAAGCCCAGGGCTTGGTCAAAATAGGTCGTGTCAGGTTCATGCGTAGCATGTATTCTAAAGTCATAAATGTTTCTCAGAAAGCCTATCCCTCAGAAAGATTCCTCCAAGATAGCATATGTTTGCGGGAGGGTTTTGTGTTGCTATCCCTCTACACAAATGACAAGTATTGCCATCATCATGCTTTCCTCCTTGGTGTTTAAGCCAATAGTCTCACTGGAGCCATAATTCATCGATTGCTAGGAGCGCTATGGGATATGGATGGTATGAATCAACTATAGCAGTGACTGAGGTAAGGCTGGCTGGACTTGAAAGTTGAGATACTGGCACTTGCCAGGGAGGCATGAGGTATTTGAGTAGCCAACTGTTTGTAAGAAAATCTTTCCAGCAGCTGGAGGATGTAATCTGAACAGCACTTCCAAATTTAGTAGAGGCCTCCAGACTGACAAGTCTAACCTAGCTATACATTTAGAGCCAGGCAACCACATGCCTTGGTGT